CTGGCCACAATAAAAGGCCACTCTGAAACGTGCAGTTTTGCTTTATTGGGGGGGTCTGGGGGGGTCCGAAAACCCTAGGGTTAGACCCTAACCCTAACATGTCACCATCTCCTTCGCATAGAGTTGATCAGGTTGTTGATTGTGGCCTATGGAATGTTGGTCCACTCCTCTTCAATGGCTGTGCGAAGATGCTGGATATTGGCAGGAACTGGAACACGTTGTCGTATACGCCGATCCAGAGCATCCCAAAAATGCTCAATGGGTGACATGTTAGGGTTAGGGTTTAACCCTAGGGTTTTCGGACCCCCCCAGACCCCCCCAATAAAGCAAAACTGCACGTTTCAGAGTGGCCTTTTATTGTGGCCAGCCTAAGGCACACCTGTGCAATAATCATGCTGTCTAATCAGCATCTTGATATGCCACAGCTGTGAGGTGGGATGGATTATCTCGGCAAAGGAGAAATGCTCACTATCACAGATTTTTTCAGATTTGTGAACAATATTTGAGAGAAATGGTTATTTTGTGTATATAGAAAATGTTTTAGATCTTTGAGTTCATCTCATGAAAAATGGGAGCAAAAACAAAAGTGTTGCATTTATATTTTTGTTCAGTGTATATTGTGACAATAGTGTAGATTGACTCTTGGTGCTTTTGAGTTTAATACAAAATAATCATTAGCAACATGGAATTAATAACGAAGTGGCTAAAAGCAAATTATAGAAGAGCGAGAGCAGTCTGAAAGTTAAAAAGATATACATCATTTTCTTTGTACTGCAGCCTTTAAAACCGGGGAAAGACACTCGTTCAATATTACGATATCCCTAATCATCACATCTAGAATCATAACACGAAATCTTTAGCTCAAAACGTTAGAGACAAGAACAAGTCTCCTTTTGAATTGAATGTACTGTAAACATATTGACGTTTTTTATATTAAGAAGTATTCATTCACTTGGGTTACCAAAGTAATTATGCCTATAGATATATTTAAATTAAAGTCTTCCTCTTCTTCTTAGCAAAACCAAGCGAGTCGAGGAATCCGACAGCGAAGAAGATAAAATGGACAAGAAAAAGAGACGCAGGATTAAGAAGCCTGTGTCAGACAGCAGCGATGAAGATGGTAAGAGGTTTACTGTCACTTTAAGTCATTCTTAGGAAATTACATTTTATAAATCATTTAAGTTAAAAGGCCTCGAAATAAATGTCAAATGACTGGGAGAGTTGACCACAGGAAGGAATAGATTCCCCTTTAATGTTTATTCAATGAGGGATTTTCCAAAGCCCTTTAGGAGAACTTGACTAACATCTGTTCACCTCTTCAGTGATTCCAGATTCTCCGCAGCAGATGGAAACAAGAGAACCGTCGCCGAGTCCTAAGAAGGAGATCAAGGCTGTTTCACATTCACGTGTAAGAGTTCAATATTGTAGTGTTGACGTGATTACTGTAACACACAAATATAGGTCATAGAAATCCATTTATTCCACTAACAGTCTCTCGATTGAGTGTTCCCTATGTATACCCATGGATGTATAATAAGAACTGGATACAGCGTGGGAGGCGGGGTCTCGTTCTTTCCTATGAGAGCTGCTCATTGGCGCATGAGGACAAAATGACCCAACTTTTGAGAAAGCGAAACGTCACGGATTACCCAGCATGCCTGGCTGTCAGAGCAGAAGTACCTGTATGTGCGCTCAGAGCATGCGCAGTTGAGTTGCCCCTTAAGCCCCGCCCCCGATCTCCCGCTCGCAGAAAATAATAACTCAGAATAACGTTATTAGCACATTTTACAACTTGAAGACCGAATGTTTTTAATAAGGGCTATACAAACGTTTATACTGGGTAGTTTATTTAGTTTAAAAATAAATTATCCAACGATTTACAGACGTCTCTTTCTCGATGTTAGTCAACGGGAAAAAGTGTTTCTAGGCCCAGCGACCGATACGGAAGTGTAGTACTGCCGTTTGGCCACAACAAATATTTTCCTCAGATTCTGGCGCACTTCCTGGGGGCTTGTGTATATAACAATTACGTGTTTTCTTTTATTGCTACAGCAGCGAGACGCTGAGATGAAGACGAGGAAGAGACGACGAGTCCTGAAATCTCATACCTTTTTAGATGACGAAGGATGCATGGGTATGAAAACAAGTTATACCTCATGTTATTTTAATTTCACCAAAAACAAGACAACATTGTACAGAATTCGTATTTTTAAAAGGTATCTCTAGGTCATTTTCACAAGATACCAGTATTACAATACATTCTGTATCCAACGACATTTGGAATAGAATTATTGATTGTTATCTCAGACAAAAAAATAAAATCTTTTAAGTTGTTGTTGATATTATGTAAGAGAGATGTTTATTTAATTATCAAATAATCTGCCAAATATCTAATTTTTTTTATTA